GCAGTAACAGTTTGTTGAAAGGCTACTAATGCTAACTGCTTGTAAACAGGGTGTTGCTACGGTAACTAACACTGGCTCTTCTCTGATGGAAAACCAAGCCGACGATCTTGACGCAGATTAAGGAACATTTGAATTTGAGTTGTAAATTAAATATGGCTGTTTAAATTGGCAAAGACGTACAATTAATTTAGTTTTTAGAGGGATGCCATTTCTCTCTCAAATATGTTTTATTTAAGAGGCCATACCTGCATGCGAAAGCCAGATCTTGTCAAACTTTTGAAGCTAAGCAGGGCAGGGTCCGGTTTGTACTGTGATGGGAGACCTATGGGAACACCAGATGCTAAACACAAAGTGCCAAACTCGCTGCGTTCTTTGGAAAGCCACATTAGAATGAGTCTGGTGTGTGTGTGTGTGGATGCTTAGTGGTGGTCGGAGTGGCCGATGGCACATACTGGTTGCCTCGCGTCTGTCAATGTGCCTCAGGGCAGCTCTGGCTACAGAAGTATTTTATATGATGATTCAACTTAATTGATGCACTGTATATTACAGTTGGGCTAATTATTCTGAGTCTTAAGATTCAATTCCAAAATCCCATGACTCCTCAAACACAAAACCCCTGAAGCAATAGCTGCCCTCGGGCTAAATGGCAGAGAGGTGGCTGCAGACATTATTCCTATTTAACTTCTCCAATTCAGCGCCCTTGTCTCATTTGTTCATAGTTTTTCTATCACAACAACGTAAGTAGCACTAGATCTGCAGATTCAATGAGATCTGAGGACGATTGTTATTGATAATAACCGTTTTAAGCAGTGAAATCTGAGGTTGTAAATAGATAAAAGCGTTCATAATACTAAGCCAGCACATATCTCTGTAGTTTCTTTGAGTTAAATAGATAAATGTTGATGTTTAGGTGCAAAGTGTAATAGTGCGAAAGCTTTGTTCTGCCTCTCAAAGGAGACGGCTCTAAAGGAAAAGGTTTGGATTTGACAGAGAGTTGAAAGCCGCATTATTTCGTCGAGCTAATGTGACGTGATAAAAGAGAGATTTGATGAAAGAGACACTGCACACCTATTCCAGCGCTGCTTTGATGCAGCAGTGATCCTGAAACAGACCTAAACCTATGTAGGGATAGTCTGTATATGACGGCCATGGATCAAAACCTTTAATATTTGTTTTTATTTTGTGCCTCACTGCAAAAAGTGATGAAAAATAAGTAAAACATGGCTCAAATTTGGCTAAATGTCGACTGACAAAATTTACCAATGGAACAAACACAACAATCTTGTTTTAAGACTAATGGCAAATCTTCTTCGACTAAATTAAGATAAATAGATAAATAAAAACTTGATTCAAGCAATTATTACCTCACATTTTATCATATTTTTCAGTGCATATTATGGATATATTCAGTTCAATATTGCTGATTGAGTTCCACCTCTCTGGCCACTTCAGTTTCAGAGTGTAAGCTGCTGCTATTTCTTAACCTGCGGCTTATAGCAATGCGGCTAATATGTGTATTGTTATTGTGGTAGAGTCAGGCTGTATACTGTCTAGAATAAACAGTATGATTGAAACCCTGAGACAAAGCTTACATACAACTTTAAAACGGTGTATGACATGCCATTGTATCCCATAAACCTCTTACTATTAATGTTTACATGTTTTTTAAATCATTTCAAGTACCGCCACATACCCCTAGGGATCTCTATGCCCCTGGTTTGATAAATATAAGTATAACAATATCTACAGTAGTTATGGGTATTACTAGTCTTGTAGCGGTGCAGAAATATGGATGACTCAAAATCATTCAACGCTCTAAAAATAACTTAGTAAATGACAGGAAAACAACACAATAACATGAAAAGATTTTGCATGTGCTGTCCCCTTTAATACCTGATTATCTGCAGCCCCAAACTCATTCCTAAATATGACTCGGATTCGTCCACAACTGTCGCAGTGAAATCGGTTGATTTGGCCAAAAGTCCTTGACAAAACAAACAAAAAGCTGCCATATTGTGATACAGGAAAGCCGTGTGAAATCAATAGCATTGTGTTCCCAGATGCTTTGGTCGCTGCGCCTTTCGCACCTGCAGGAATGTGTCTATAAAATATTTTGGTTGAAATGAGCCACAAAAGAAAAAAAAATTATAGATATTTGGAATAGTACAATGAACAAGACAGAGATTCCAATGATTCTATTTACAGTATATGATATCCAATGTTTTGTGTGAGTGATAAAAAACTTCTTTTCTAGCTACAAGTTGCCAATGTAATTAATCTAATACAACTGTGAATTGTGTCCACTGACTTGCACTGTGAAAACATATGTCCCTGTGCCCCCTTTAAGTTAAGGCAAGCTTATTTGTATGGCACAGTTCCTGCACAAGGAAACTCAAAAAAATTCAACTCTACACACAGATGAAATACAGCATAAAATAAAATACAGGTCCACTATTATAAACGTTTCACCATTGGTTGAGTTAAAATACCAAAGCAAAGAAATGGGTCTTTAGCTGCGATTTAAAGCTCTCTACGGAGGGGGCAGCTCTGCCACTATAAAGCCTGGTTTACACGGCAGGATAATTAGGCCGATTTTGGACCCGATTTACCCCTACGACAATCGTAAGAACGCTCCGAATATCGTAACAAAAAATCTAATGGATTTTCCGTGTGGTGTGTTAAGACTGCGCTCGTCGCTCGGAAGGACTTCGGGACTGCTCCGATCTCAATATCGGGGATATCCAACATGTTGTATTGTTTTGGCCCGATTTCTCCTCGTGTGTGTTGTCCCCCGAGGACAGACGAACGCGTTGCCATGACTGCGGCGTGTAGCCAATCAGAAGACGAGACGAGGCGGCGAGGAAACGGCGTAAAAAAACAACTCACCTCCATATCACGATGTAACAAGTATAGTCCATGCTCGCGTTGTCTCCATCGCCTTTTCTTTTGATTACGTCTTTTCTCTGCTAAAAACAAACTATCGCCACTGCATCCTCTTCGTCCGCCATGATTGTTTACTCTGAAGCCACGCTTGATCTCGCGAGATTTTGTGAGATTTCCGTCTGATCTGTGAATGCTCGGGGGGGGGAATCGGTTCGTGTGTGATGTGTGTGGTTTGCGTGATTTTGCCGTGTGGCTGCGCACCACACACTGTTCGACCAAAGTGGTTAGACCCATGATTTTTTATCTCGGTGTGTGAGGTCTCACACAGAGAAAAAATTGTCCGACAATTTTAAAATCGTCTTGTGTGAACCAGGCTTTAGGGAGAGCGTTCCAGAGTTTGAGCCCTGACACAGAAAACACCCGGTCTCCTCTGGTCTTTAGTCTAGACCTGGGACAGTGCAGAAGAAGTTGGTCAGAGGACCTCAGTGCTCTTCCCGGAGTGTGTAAAGTAAGCAAATCAGTGAGATATGACGCAGTGATTTAAATACTAACAATAAATAAATAATAAGAGTGATAATACAATCCTTCAGTTGTTTGCACAGCTAAACACAACTATTTGTAGCCTAACATTGTCAAAGTAGAGGCCTGTCATTTGAGTTTTGCTGCATAAATCTGAAACATGGATTGTTTAGTCTTGACTCTAGGCACCAGTCCCCAACCTTGCCTGCAAACTGAATTCTCGCGGTATTTGTGAGTTCACAAACACTCGAGAATACATCTTGCCCCGCTCCCGCCAACCCTTTTCGAGTAGAACATCTAGGTGTTCAAGCCAATCACGCGCCAGTCTGGGGGTTTAGGGCGGGATATCCGGGTTTGACGAAAGCAAGAAGTGCCGGGCCGAAGCAAAACAAACATGGCTACGCAGGAGAACGGACGCGTAGCTGAGGCTATCAAGTCAGTTTTAGCAGAATCTCCAATTTCTTTTTTGAAAGATGAACAGCGAGAGGCGCATAAAGCAGTCATAAGCCAAATAAAATAGTTTAGACCAGCGCAACTTATGGTGGTTTCTCAGGGCGCACGCCGATGACGACATAATGTTACCGGGATTGGTTTAAGTCAAACCTTGGTAGGCGGACACACAGCGTCACTTCGCCCAATCAGCTTGAAGTATTCTGCTGCTTATCCCTCCTTTCCCCGAAAGGATTCTCCTGCAGAAGTCCCAGATTGATATTGTGGAGAACGCATTAGAGTTCTACACAATCATCAATCTGGCTCTTGCCAGGTTAACCAGTCCCAGCAGGAGGCCAGTCCCTGTGCTCCTCAGAGTCTCAGTAGGAGGCCAGTCCCTGTGCTCCCCAGAGTCCCAGCAGGAGGCCAGTCCCTGTGCTCCTCAGAGTCCCAGCAGGAGGCCAGTCCCTGTGCTCCTCAGAGTCTCAGTAGGAGGCCAGTCCCTGTGCTCCTCAGAGTGCCAGCAGGAGGCCAGTCCCTGTGCTTCTCAGAGTCCAAGTTGGTTCCGATGGCACTAACATGTCACAGATGTATGTTGGTCGTCCCTCCCTCGTGTTGATATTGCATTTTCTGAGTTCATTCTTCAGTTCAATTCAATATCTTTTTTTGCATAAATCCCAACAGTAGTTATCTCGGAGGACTTTACAAAGCAGTCGATTTGGCAACAACAGATCAGAGAATCAAACACTGGGAATGCAATGATAAAAAACACATAGACCCATTTGTCCACAAGGAGCGAGTGGATGACCAATGTCCATAAATGAAAATAATTATCCATTGAAATGTCATCGGATCAACACCACTGTCTGATTTTCTGATCTGTTTTTGAGGAATACACAACTTTGTAAAGTCCTACGAGACGACTGCGGTTCTGATTTAGAGGGATACAAAAATGTAATCATTGCATAGCTGTGGCCAGATTCCTCCTCGAAACACACACACGCACACGCACGCACGCACACACACACACACACACACACACACACACACACACACACACACACACACACACACACTGACAGCTCTTACAGAAGCTCCTTATCCACTCCCCTGTCTCACACACTCCTCTCTGCTCTGAAATGTGGCAGCTTGTCTTCGAGTGTTCGGGTTCAGATGAGCTCCAGATGGTGAGCTCCGCGGCCCGTCACCTTGACCCAGTTCGGGCTCCGGTCTGTGGGGGAGCCGTCTGTCCGCTGCCCCTCTCTCTCTGTGAGCTCCATCCAGGGCACCAGGCCCCGTCTTATTCTGACATGAAAGGAGAGAGGCGCACACAGGGAGGTCGGCTATTGTCGCTCAAGCTTCATCTGCAGGGAAAGAGGTGTGTGTGTGTGGGGGGGGGGGTTTCCTTGTATGCATGTGTGTTTATTTGTGTGTGTGTGTGTGTGTTTGGGTGTTTGCTTTTGTGTGTGTGTGTGTTTGTATGTGTGCCGTATATACTTTGCTTCTGTGTGTGTGTTTTGGTGCATGCGTGTGTTTGTTTGCGTGCTTGCTTTGCATGTGTGCGTTTCTGAGTGTGTGTGTTTTTGTGTTTGTGTGTGTGTGTGTGTGTCGGTGTTTGGCTGTTTGCTTGTATGCATGTGGGTTTATTTGTGTGTGTGTGTGTTTGCTTGTTTATGTGTTTGTATGTGTATATGCTTTGCTTCTGTGTGTGTGTGTGCGTGCGTTGGTGCGTGCATGTGTTTTTTTTGTGTGTTTGCTTTGCATGTGGGTTTCTGAGTGTGTGTGTGTGTGTGTGCAAGCGTTGGTGCGTGTGTGTGTCATTAATAGGCAGAGCTCGTTGAATCACAGACGATTTGATAACCAACAATAATCAAAAAATTTTTACCTCATATTTTATACGTTTTTCTCCCTCCGTACGGCAGTGAAGTGGAAAGGTTGGCCCTGTGTACATTTTGCTGGCTCCATGTGTCGACGCTGGGGGCTGATGGAAAGCCTCTCGGGACACACAATTTTTTTTTTAAAGACCGACACCGGCATCTGCCACTCCGCCCCGAGAGAAAAGCACGATCCAAGTCCATGTTTCTCAGGTTCATGTCCTCGTTTAAGATTTAAGGCTAAAAGAAGCTCCTTACATACAAAGTGACATGTCTTAGTTTGTTATAATGTCCTTACCCAAAGCTCAGGTAGGGCAAGTTTTTTTGTATGGCACAGTTCATACACAAAGCAGCTAAATGAATGTTATGACCAAAACAAGATTAAGACAACAAAGCATTAAAACCATAAACAATCACAGTTCATTCAAAAGTTGTATGCACAGCTAAACTGTTTTTAACCTGGATTTGAACATTGTCAGAGAAGAAGCCTGTCTCACATTTTCTGGAAGACTTTAGAGTTTAGACAAAATACCACTTAATTTCTACCACTATTTAAATAATTCAATTTATTGATCTAACAATTTGTCAGCTGAACGCGGTATTGTTGGTACTTCTACATATTTACGTTGGGTCTTTTACAAGAGACTTTTTGCCATTTGCAGCAAAAGAAACATTTCAAATTCAAGAACTAAAATTGTGTACGTTCTTGTCAGTACTTCAGGTGTAACCATGTTTGCGCCTGTAGCTCCGCCCACAGCTTTTTACCATGACGAATACAGCAATTATGTGGAAGAATGGGACCCAATTATGAAGATGAATTTGGCGATTAGGCGGTGTGTCACCAATGCAGTGCATTATGGGAGATATCAGACGGCAACATGCCTCAACGTTCACCGGGGACCTGCGTCATATACATTTCTCCTTTTATTTACAACAGAACAAGAGGTTAGCATGTATCTGTGCTACTGCATCTGTGCTACACATGGATCTGTAATAATAACTGGATAGGGTATTACTAGCTTATAGCTGTCCCACCTATGGGCACAGGGGGCGCCCGTGGTACTGCAGACTAATTTCACGCGGGCTACCCAGAAAAAAGTCCCATAGAACTCAATGTAAATTAAAACAGCTCAGCCTCAGCTGACAGAGAACCTAGAGCTTTCAGAAAGGTCAGATTTGGTGAAAATTTTAGTGTCCCTTGTAGGGGTGATACTTTCTCCGGCGATTCGATTATCGATATGCATTTGCCAAGTATCACTATCGATTTTGAAAACAATATTTATATATTGCAGTTTTTATTTTATTTATTTTTAAATAAAAATAAAAAAATTGTTATCAATACTTAATATATGGCTACATTACGCATCTCCATTCCATTTATCACAAAATAAAGTGTAGTTTTTCTTTTATTTATGCCATAAATTGGCATATTGTATATTTCTGACCAATATATCAATAAACGTCATACCGTGATAAAATCGTTATCGTGATATCGTTATCGTAATATCGTTATCGTGAGCTTTGTATCGTGTATTGTATCGTGTATCGTATCGTATCGTGAGGTACCCTTAGGTTCCCACCCCTAGTCCTTTGTCATCCTGAACTTTTTTTCTTCTTAAATCCTTCGGTTTTCTTTAAATCTACACTTAAGGGCCACAAACTCTGCTGGTTTCCTTCCCGCTCTGACTCCGCTCTACCGCGGCTCGGATCAGCAGCTCTGATTGGTCAGAGCGCGGCCGAGCCCCTCTGTGCGCGTGCTTAAGAGCCACACTCGCGTATTTGGCGCAAAGCATCATGGGAGCTCGTCCACTGCGCAGAACCGGGAGGACCAGACGATGCCCAAATATAGGCGAGCTAATCTCCCGGTCTCTGTGAAGTCCCATGCGCTGCGGAGCACAAGCCATTCATTTGAATAGGGCTCCATCTTGGATCACCGGGGCTTTGTGCTACTGTATCTGTGCTACTGTACCGTATGGTTAGGCCGACACAATTGGCTTATGAACCAATGGCTCTATGTGTTTTTTATCATTGCATTGTTTGTGTCCAATATAGGTCAGAGAATAAAACAGTTCAAACAAAAAAAGCAATGATAAAATCACACAAAGAGCCGTTGGTCCATAAAGGGCAGGTACTGTACAATCAGTAGATAAAAATATATACATAAACACATTTTAATTGGTTTGTTACTAATGAGCCCAAACCTGAGTGGGAACAAATCAAATATACCCTATTGAAAAACGTAAAATACAGCAAAACTTGAAAGACTACACAGGTGACCCCAGAACTCGGTCGGTCCACTCATTACAGTTTGTAATAACAAGTTGGAGACGAGAGCATTCAAACAGAGAAGTTCTCATACCGGAAAAACGTTGTGACATACATTGAAAAACTCCAACAAGACAGTTTGGTGTAATGTGTCCTTTAGGTGCGAGAGGCTGCGCACTGTAAGCAGAAGTCAAAGAGCATCGTGGGGCCTCATTTTTGTGGTGAAATGAGCCGTGGGAGCCGTAAATCTCTCTCGGCGGAGCAGCAAATCCAGGCTTTATGTGTTTGACCCCAGGACACGGCGAGTTACCTGCGCGCAACTGCAGCCAGCTTTGTTACTTCATCATCGTAATGACGGAGGCGTGGAAACAGAATAATTACACACCTCAGCGCGTTGTGAGAAAATGCACCACGGTTTAACAGCTAAAGCCCACGTGTCGAGTTAGAGCTTCGTTAAAGCTGAGGTACCTATGATCTCCGTTCTAGGGTTCGAATCCCGGGACAGAACGGGGCTTTTCCGAGTTGAGTTTACATGTTCTCCCCGTGTCTGCGCAGGTTTCCTCCAGTTTCCCCTACCAGTAAAAACATGTGCAATAGGTCTGAACGTACAGTAATGGTTTGATGATCAGGGGCTTTGATGGTCCGGTGTGTTCAGGGTCTCGCTTCTGTCCTCTCCGTGTGTGGAGAGAATGGAAAAAATGAGGAGGACACAGCTCAAGATAAATGAACATTTACTGCTAAAATGAAATAACATCTCTAGCTTTAGCATAATAAAGAAGCAAGTATAAAAGTATAATGTGAGTCTTAATTAATAAATATTTAATGCATTGTCTTTAAACTAACTGTGTTGTCAAGGTTCACTGTGATTAAGGTGAATACATGTAAAGAGGTCACTGGGTTACTTGCTAACCGTTTGGGTTGTGAAGTGACTTTGCTAAAGTGCAATTTTTGGGTTGTTAGCGGGATATAAGACTGGAAACCTTGTTAGGCTAATAGGCTGTGTCAACAAACTAATGATAGATAGATAGATAGATACTTTATTGATCCCCGTCGGAGAAATTTAGGTGACCAGTAGCAGCATAAATAGAAAATAAAATTGATCATTCAAAAAAGCTAACAATAGTAATAGTAGGTCACAGCAGCAGAGGTGGAGTAGCCTCTGGGTGTAGCAGGACGGGTCACAAGGTGGAGTAGTCGCTTGGTTCGGAGCATTTTCTCAGCTCTTGTCCAAAGTAAAATGCTAAATGCTTCTTTAGCATTTTTCAAAAAGTTAGCATTCCTCCAGTGGATTTTCATCTGATCCACTTGGTTTGGACCATGAATCCTCTCCGCTCCGGTCTGGACCAGTGTAAAACCATGAACACTGTACTGGAGCAAGAAAAATAAAATGTATATAGCACGAAGCAACAACTTTTTCAGAACTGCTTAGGACCTGCTGCCGTTTTCCAGCGCATTCAAAAGACATCGTATGGTCTAGGCCCTATAGAATCTTTGAAGTGACAACAATGTGACCATGATGTAGGTGTGTTTTTTTTGTCTAAAAGAAAGGCCTGTAACACAATGGCGTTCAGTCCAGGCACGGTCATAGCACCCGGAATCAGAGATGTGCCGTGACCATGCAGGCGCTCCTTTAGTATAAATGAATCCTTGTCTGATTTTGTTGTCTTTGTCCAGGAAACTTTTAAACACTAGCTTTAACAATGTTTCTTCATTTTTTTATTGTGGACCTAGAATCTGAATGAAGAAATGATGATGATGAAGATGTGTGTGATGTCATACTGTAGTGGTACAATGACATCATACTTTTAAATATTTGAGACAGGAGCGTTTTAGACAGAAGGGAATGAAGTTACATGTTTGTGATTAAAACAAGTCCAGGTCTGCTTGCGATGAAGAGAATGATTCTGTAAGCTCAAAAAAGTCCATTTTGCATCATTAGACTCCTCTATGTATCGCATTTATAAACATGCTTATTGTGTATGTTTATTGTCACTACGGTGTCACCTCTGTCTTGTTGGCTTTAGCTGACTAATGCTAAGCTGCTGTGTCACAGTCCAAACAGAGGTGGGGGAAAAAAAGAAAAAAATCTCTCGCCTGGATTCCTCGTATTATGTCATCCTGCACTTCCCGTTCACCTCCTGTCTCCATAGCAACAATATACCCAAG